CGGAGACCAGATCGTCTTCGCGATCCCGATAACCCGAATTCGCATCCATCCACGAACCGTTCTATCGACACGTCGCGGTCTTTTCGATCGCCGGACAACGCGCGCTCGCGCATACTCGCCACGATCGACGACACGCACAGTCGTTCTCGTACTCGGCCCATTGTCGATTCGCGAGCTCGCTACCGCCTTGAAGCTGCACCGTCGTCGAACCGAGGTTTCCGATCTCGCGATCGTCCGTTTCGTCGATCGACGAGGAGTCCGGTTTTCGAGGTTACGCGAGCGAATCGACGCTCGCACTCAGTCGTTCGAACATGTCCATCAGCGCTTCGAAGCGCACGTAGAGTCGCTTGGCCATGGCGCTCATCGGCGCAGGTTCGTCGACGCTCGCCACCGCTGATCATCACTCGCAGCCAACCGAGAGCTTTCGCAGATACTCGTTCTCGCGACGCTGCGTTGGTTCGCAGCAACTTGTCGACGAGTCTCGTTCGAACGTCCGACACCGAGATCGCGCTCTCGTCGCGAATGCGCGTTGGCCAGGCCATGCACAACGCTATGTACATTCGCGTTACAGGCAACATGATAGTGACCACTAATTTGTCCACCGTCAAACGGTGACATCTCCGCCAAAATTCGTCCAGCAACGCGGACTCGGGTACTTCGGGCATTCGCACGTGAATTCGCATGGCGTTCGCGTCGCCGCGCACCATGAAGTTCATGACCAGATACGTCAACAGAAGCGACGATCGTACCACGAACAACAGCGTCGATTGCGTCTGCAGTACGGTGATGACTATAGCGTCTCGCGGCACGATGGATACGCAACGATCGCAGTCATAGCCGGCGGAATCGTGCCAAGCGGCGAGAGTCTCCTCGACGACTTGCTCGTTCGGTTCGAAGAGCGCGCAACGACAGTACTCGTTCACATTGACGTTTCGACGCAGTTGGTCGGAGTCGCGAATGAACGCGAACACGTATTCGAGAGACTGTTTCGCCACATCGAGGATGTACAGTTGATTGCGCCGAGTCGATTCGTCGCACTCGGGAGCGACGGCACCGATCACGCTCGGATCGGCCAGCATGTTCTTGACGCGGGCCAGATGATCGCGCATGGACACCTTAAAACCGGCCAGAGTCGAACATTCGTTCAGCACAGCGGCCACGTCTCGCACTCGAGCGTACTCGTTCGAGAGAAACACTTCCAGTTTAGCCGGTTTGTCGTACATCAGAAATCCGTAGCAGTGTAGAAACAGGCGCAAATCGCTCCTCGACACGGTGGCTTCGACGCCCGAGTCCACAAAATTGCTTCGATCGTAGAGATTGCACGGAATCACGTTTACGAGCGATATTGACACGCGATCGTCCTCGTCGTTGACGACAACGGACATTACCGCTGGGTGTGGGTAATAGGGGGGGGTAAGAGTATCGTTGGAAAAAAATCGCCTTTTTATCGTCGCGATACAGTCGTGCCTCTCGACACGGAAACGACGCGACACGGTACGCTCGCGTAGAGTCGTCGAGCCGAGTCGTCGATCATCGGTGCCTTGTCGTTAAAGATCGGCGCTAGTTCGCACAGAACGAATTGCAAGAACGCGTTGTCCTCGGTGACGCGTCGATCGCGTCTAAGCACAAGTCGCGCGATCGAGACGAGCATGTCGTCGTCGTCGCAGTGACGGGGTGCAATCGAACGACGCTCGCATCGCCACCAATCATCGCCATTGTAGCGGAGCTGGCATTCGAGAGAGGCAATTATGTCGAGCAACAAGCGCATCGAAGCATCGTCTCGTTTGTACGTCAACGAATCGCCGTAGTGGCGCATCAGCAAGCGCTGAACGCTCAGGGAATCCATCATGGTTGAGCAACGCTCGTCGTCCGTTTCGGTCTCCTCGACAGCTCGAACGATGCGAGTGCACGAGTACAACGGATTGAATTCGCGAACCATCGGGTGCCGAACGGTGGAGTTCCGGTCGTACATGAGCGGCGCGTCCTCACCGCACACAGCAGTCGGACGATAACGACGGTCGCGATCATCCAACAATGCGTCCCACACTCGCAGGAATTTTCTCGAAGGATCGGCCACGTAGATGTGATAACCGTGACGATCGCCGATCGGCGGCGAGGTGATCCACGCTAGATCAGCGGACGACGCGCGCAGCGTTCGACGCGTTCGACCGATCAACCGGTCTCGCCACAGTAACGCCGATTCGGACGAAGCCGCGACGTGACGGCGCGATCGATCGCCCGATGCGGTCGCTTCGTCTTTGAACGCGCGTTTGTACTTGATGCAGTCGATATCGATGAACAGGTACTCGTCGACGGAGCGCGCGGTCGGTCGCGACGTCGACATGTCGCGTGAGGACAGATTCGACCGTGCTCCGACAACGCTCGGTTCGACGTGTCGTTGAGTATATATACTGTTGCTCACGATTCGACGTCACGCTCGAATCGAGAGAAAGGGAGAGAGAGAGAGAGAGAAGTGACCGAGGGCGCACCGAGAGAGAGATGGCGGAATCCTACGTGTTCACCGTCTCCACGTGGTACGACGAATGCGTCGGTGCGGACCGCGACGAGCGAACGAACGGCGTGCCGTTGGATCGGATCTCGTCGAAAACGACCCATCGCGACGATCGTTGGTACGTGAAATTGACAAGATACTCCAATTCGCACGCGACGTCCTCGCCGGTGTCGCGTCGTCGACACAACGGTGAAATCGAGATACATCAACGACAGTTGCGTCTGCTGCATCAGATGCTACCGGACGTTCGTCGCTATTGCGATTTGTTCGAGATCGCGCCGATGGATCAACGAGTCGAGTTCGTACGATTCATTCGAAATCTGGAGCGCACCAAGCGTTCCGTACTCGCCCGATTGAGCGATACCGCGACGAAACGAGACGATTCGGAGGAGAGGACTGGATCGTCGTCGCGCAGGAAAAGGGGATTGTCGTGAAACGAGAAATAAAGAGATTGCTTTTTTTCCTCGTTTTCGTTTTATTTCATTCACCTCGTTTCCAATCTCGCGACACGTCGTCTAACGCCGTCAACGAGGCGGGTGCGTCGACGGTGCCTTTCGGGTAATACGCCACATCGCGCAGTAACGACGAATCTCGCATGTACAGGTTACCGTGCGCTACGGTGCACATCTGCGTCGCGCATTTCAGACCGAATGGCTATATTACGAGCCGCCGCCTATCGATTCGGTGGTGCGTGTGCGCGATCACGGCCGATTGTTACAAGGAGTAGTACCGTTCTACGGCGACGTGTCGCATCGATACGTGTACACCGGTAATCACGGTGATCGATTGGATGGTGACGGTGGCTCGACGAACAGCGATAGCGACAACGGCTCAACGAAACAAATATTGATCGATGAGGAGAATACAAGCGATCTTGCGGACGAGTCGGTCGTCCTCGATCATTGACAATAATGTGAGAAGACGAATCTCGATTGCGATTCGTTGCCGTCTACCCTAATATCTATCTTCGACGATGTACATTTTGAATAAATAGTGGTTGATTTGGCGAGTTTCACGAACATACGATTCGTACGACAGATCGTTAATACCACGCAGTAACGATATGGACACCGAGCCAAATTGTCCGTATTGCGTACGACATTATTTTGTGCGCAATACGTTGGCTGATGTCGCACGACACATCGATACTGTTGTCACTTCGAGTCGTCACGGCGAAATCATTCCGGCGGTCTCATCGTTTCACTGTCCGCGTCAGATAGATGAAACGCTGGCCGATCGTTTGCTCGCGATTATATCGTATTGCAACGATATCGAAAAGAAATGGCGATATTCGTGGCTTTGTTACCGAGACGTGATATTGCGTCCATCCATTGTGTTTTACGAAGACGACGAGGCAGCGAGAAACAACGATGACGATTGTAGTAACGACGACTCAACGACAAGAAGATGCGATTTCGAATTGACGCGTTTAGTAATTAACGCTCTGATGGATATATTCGCTGAAGATCGACGCGGCTATTTGAATTGTTGGAGTTCCGTCAACGTGTCGAATTGTGAACGATGGCGTGAGGTGGTATATTGGCTCGCATGAATCATGCCGATGCTGTGCGATCAGTTTCGTATCACGATAAGAGTTATTTCCGATTGTGACAATATCGTAGCATCTTCGTCCAAAGGTCTATTGTGGTTTCGTGAGATCGTATCGCGCACTATTGTCAACAACAATGTGTTGGGCGACGGCAATCGTTCAGAGACGGATGATGAGGCGGAAGAGGACTCGTATGAGAAGCGTGATCAGAGCGATTGGGACGACGACGGTCAAGAGGATGACGAGAATGACAAGGAGGAAAAATCGGTCGACGATCATCAACTTTGCTTTGATTGCACGATCGATCGTATCGCCGAACGAGTGATTCCCGAGTTGGCTGTGAGCGCACGGCGTTGGCGTACTTTGCAACGTTACACCGTCGATTCTTCATGTGTGCATTTGATACCAGCGCATGTGAAATGAGCTGTCATACGGGAAATGATTGTTCCCGTGCTACATTTGCCTGGAAGAAGACACAGTAATCATCCGCCTACTCGTCAATTTGAGAACAATCCGCTTCACTTTAACATGACAATGCGTTCGGATCCTTCGTCGTGGCGACGAATCGATGAAAATGCTTCAGCTGTTGACGATGTAATGAGCGCGTTAACTGAAATAGCTGCTAAACTACGCGACTCTACTACTTTACCAGCTCTACTACTTTAGACGGCGAGAACCGATCGTGCCGCGAATCGATAGTTCGCCTGAAATTGTTACGTACTGGTTGGCGCAAATTTTGCCTCCGTTCTGTCGGCGCTTTTGTTACTATGTGAACGTGGTGCGACCGCAACAAGCATCGTCATAATTCTAACTTGCGACGATCGCTAGCGGTAAAATGTTGTTTTCTTATGCTCTCCAACAATAAAGCGAGCGCGGGAGAAGGGGATTGTCGTGGAACGAGAAATAAAGAAATTTTTTTTTCCTCGTTTGGGTTTTATTTCATTCACCTCGTTTCCAATCTCGCGACTCGTCGTCGAACGCCGTCGACGAGGCGGGCGCGTCGACGGTGCCTTTCAGATAATACGCCACATCGCGCAGTAACAACGAATCTCGCATGTACAGATCACCGTGCGCTACGGTGCACATCTGCGCCGCCCATTTTAGGCCGCTCGCGAAGTACGAGCTCTTGGGCACGTGTTTGCTCACGATCACAAAATCGTCGAGGTATCGCTGATACGCGGTTTCCTGGTCGGGCGAGCATTCGCGAAAGATGTCCGACTGCGGCGCGGCCGCCTGTGCCACGTTGGCCGCGGTGCGCTCGTGCAATGTCACGAGATCGCGCGGAGTGCCCTTTGCACCCGAGTGAACGACGAGCCAGTTTTCCAGACAAAGAGCGTTTTTGTCCGAGATAACTATCGCTCGATCGGGCGCTTCGATCGAGCGTCGGAACAAAACATGTCTCACTCGTTGAATAAAGGCCTCGCCGTCGTCGCTGCCGCGAATGCGAACCGCGCGCACGAAGACCAGATCCAGCACGGGACATTGTCGCCACACGGATTCGCACCACCATTCTTCGGTGCTTTCGCAGTTGCGAATGTTCCTCGAATCATGTCTCTTCGCTTTGTCGATCGGTCGTCGTCGCCAAATATCCGAAATTACCCGCGCGTAATCGTCGTACCACGGACCGAAGAGAGCGCGAGCCCGTCGTCGAGCGGCGCGCAAACGCCGAATGTTCAGTCTCGCGTGCAATAGAGAGCTCGCTTCGCACGGCGATACATCGTCCGCGCCGCGACCGAACGTTCGTCCGCGCGAGACTCGTTCGGTCGCGAGTTCGACCACGGCGCGCGTTTCGTCGCGCGCGTCGTCGAACGCCAACACGCGAAACGTCCAAAAGTGCTTTGGCAAAACGTGAATCACGGAATGTCACCAAAGAGAAACGGATCGCGCAGACGTCGCAATTCGTACGCCGACTCGATGCCTCTCAGGATCATGATCGTAACGGCGTCGCCGTCGAAATCGGCGTTCAGATGCTTCAGCACGAACGGCGATATGTGAACGGAGTCGTTGTGTTCCAATCCGCGCTCGTAGACGTACACTCGCTCGACACCGATCACACTTTTTTTTTTTTTTTTTTTTTTTGACGAGGAGGAAATCCATCATGGATACCCTGACCCTCGGGGAAGGGCCAGGGTTATGCCGGACTCCTACCGGCTAAAACCTCCCCGGGTGGCGCTGCGAAGGGACTTGGGTCGGGGCCCCGGTGCCACGTAACTGCTAATCGGGGCCCCGAGTCCAGGTTCGCACCTTCTGTCCCTGAGGGGCGGGGCGGGGGAGGGGGGAAGCCGACCCTAGGGTCCGCTTCGACCGCCGCTCCCCCAGGGGAAGGGGGAAGCCGGCCCGAGGGCCCGCTTCGACCGCCGTTCCCCTTTCCCACCCCTCACGCCTCGTCTCTTTGGTCGGGAAGGGGGAAGCCGGCCGAGGCCCGCTTCAACCACCGTTCCCGACCAGACGAGGCGCCGCCAATTGAAGAACGTTGTGTGGCTGACTGACCCACCGTATCAGCCAGCCACCCTACCTTGGGAGGGCTGGTTGGAGCACCGGGAGTCCCCGCCCGGTGCCCCACCCTCCCGCCCGGCGGTTGCGGGGAGATGTACTCTCCTAGCCGCCGGGCTCTCCCCACCTCCGCGGAGGAATGGGGCGGGGGGTCCTAGTGACCCCCCTCCCGCATGTCCGACTGGTCTGTCGGACCTGCGATTCAGGGGGGGGAGGGGCATTATTTCGGTGATTGATCAATCACCGATACCCTCTCCCCCCCCTTACTCTCATCCGACGCCCGTTCTCGCGGGAGTCGGTGGTCTGCGGGTTTGGGGCCTAGGCCTTAGCCTCTGGCCCCATCCGCTCCCTTCTCCCGTCGCTGCCGTTGGTGGGGCAGCGAGGGGTGGCGGCGGTGGCGGTGCCACATCCACCCCTACTGCGGGGGCGGCCAGTGTTGCTACCGCCGCCATAAATGGGGCGAGCCTACGCAACGCCACCACCGCCACCCCTCTCTCTCTTATGAGGGCTCCCAACTGCCCCCTCCAGTTTGTTCCTCTCAACTTTCCTCTTCTCGCTCTCCTTCTTGGAGGAGGAGCAGGAGGGTGAGGAGGAGGCGGAGGTGGTGGGCTGCGCCCCCAACCTCCGGAGTTCCTCCTCCTCCGAGGAGTCTGCATCCCCCTCCCTGCTCCTGCTCCTCCCTCCTCTCCATTGGCGGTGGCGGTCTCTCCGCCTCTTCCGCCTTCCCCTTCCCTCTGCTCTTCGTCTCTCCTCCTCGGCCTCCTCCTTCTTCTTCATTACGCCTTCGCAGAAGGTATTAAACGCCTCCCATTTCTCTTCGCTCCCCAGTATCGCCCGGACTATACTGGGGAGCGAAAGGTCTCCACCTAACTGCCTTTCCACGACTCCGCGCTCGTTGCTCCAGGCCGGGCATTCCTGGAGCGTATGCTGCGCGGAGTCGTGGCCATTCCCGCAGTGGTGACAGGCGGCTGTGCGCTCCTTTCCTATTCGGCACAGGTACTCACCGAAGCAGCCATGCCCGGTGAGCACCTGTGCCGCCCTGAAAGTCAGGGCCCCATGGGCCCTTCCCACCCACTCGAGCAGGAAGGGCCGGACGGCCTCGACGGTCCTCCTCCCGTATCTGGCATTGGCCAGACACCTCTGCCATCTTTCGAGGAGGATCCGTCGAGTCTGGTGCTTCATCTCTCTAATCGTCCTGGCGAGCGGTATGTCCGCCCCCCCTCTTCTTAGGAGCTCGCGCTTCCTGTCGTACATACGTTTGTACGACAGGGCCACGAGCTCCATGGGGGGCATGCTCGCCAGGACTGTCGCCGCCACGCAGGAGACGGTCCGGTAGCACCTTGCTACCCTGGCCGCCAGCCCCCTTTGCACTTTGCGCAACCGCGCTTGCATCGGGCGACTGGCGGCCAGCGACTCGGCCCATACCGGCGCTCCGTACATTGCGACGGAGTTTAGAATTCCTGCGTGGAGGCGACGTGCCTTCATTTCCGGTCCCCCGACGTTGGGCATCAACCTGCCCAGGTTGATTGAAATCATCCTGAGTCGGGGGACCAGCCTGTTGAGATGCTCTTTGAAGCACCAGGTGCCGTCCAGGGTGAGGCCCAGATATTTCATCTGGGCCTCTATGGGGACCCTGACTTGGCCTATCCTGATTTGGGCCTGGGGTGGCTTCATGCCCCTGGCGTGAAAGAAGATCGCCTCCGTCTTCCTTTCTGCCACCACCAGGCCCAAGTTGCGGATGGAGCGCACAACCGCCGCCACCGCTAAGTTGGCCGTGTGAACGGCTTCCCCCCAGTCTCTCCCCCCGGCTAGGACGAGCGTGTCGTCGGCGTAGCACAGCGTGCTACAGCCGGGGGGGAGGGCTGTCCGGAGGACTGAGTCGTAGCCTATATTCCATAGGAGGGGCCCCAATACAGATCCTTGTGGGACCCCACGACTCATCCCCCTCTCTCTTACCGTGCCATCGGCGTCCTTCCACGTGAGACGCCGACCCCGGAAGTAGTCCTCTATGACGGCCGTGAGGTAGGGTGGGAAGCGGAAATAACCCCTCATCGCTTGCACCACCCTACCCCAGGGCAAGGTGTTGAACGCGTTCGCGATATCCAATGATACCGCGACCGCCACCCTGCCCTCCGACACTATGGCCCCCGAGAGGGACTTGAGATGCAACACTGCGTCCACAGTTGATCTGCCCTCTCGGAAGCCATATTGGCCGTCACCTAAGTCAGGACCCTCCCGGGACATATGCCTCTTGAGGCGGGCTGCTATTATGCGCTCAAAGAGCTTGCCCGCCTCATCCAGGAGGCATATGGGCCGGTACGCGGAGGGGGATTCCTCCGGCTTGCCCTCTTTTCGGAGGAGGACCACGTTGGCCCTCCCCCAGACTGGGGGGAATCTTCGTTCCTTCACTGCCCTGGTAAATAGGCGGGCGAGCCTGCCGCTCATGTACCCTGAGGCCAGGGTGAGTACACGGCCGGGGATACCATCGGGTCCCGAAGCTTTCCCGCTCTTGACCCTTTTGGTAGCCTCGGCCACCTCCTCCTCGGTGACTCCCGGAACCTCCCCCTGTTGTTCGGGGGAGGGGGTTACGTACTGGGTGATGGGGTCTTCCCCCCCAACCGGGAATAGGGTCCCCATCACCCGTCCCAGGAACCGGGAGTCAAGCGTCTCCGTCAGAGGGGGCGCCCATGGTCTCAGCTTTTGCATCACCATCCTGTATGGGCGCCCCCACGGATCCGCGTCCAGCGAGAGGAGGAGGTCGTCCCACCCCTTTCCTCTGGCCACCCCTATGGCGTTCCGGAGTTCCTTGGCTGCAGTGCAGAACTCCTGCCGGGCGGCCAGAGTGACCTCAGGGTCCGCGTCCCGGCGTACCGCTCGGAACGCGCGCCTGAGGTGGACCGACCTCCGCCGCAACGCGGCAATTTCGTCGGTCCACCACCAGGCGCATCGTTTTGGGCAGGCCCTGACTCCGGGCATGGAGGCATCGCACGCGAGTGCGAGCACCTGCATAACCTCCATGACCTCAGAGTCAAGGTCCTGCCCGTCCTTACATTGTGGCCAGGTGGAGCCCATCAGGGAGATTTCTAGGTCCTCCCTGTTTAACTGGGCTAGGGCCCATCTACCGGGCCGGGGTCCGTCCTTATTACGGGGCCGTAGGCCATCGGGGGTGACGGAGAGCTCCATCTCTATTAAGAGATGGTCGGATAACGATTCAAGCTCCTCCGCCACCCTCCAGGTCCGCACCCTTCGCAGGGCCGAGGGGGTTGCCCAAGACAAGTCGATAATAGACTCCCCCCTCGACCCCACGAATGTGGATTTTACACCATCGTTCATTATGTGCAGACCTAGGCCCACGGCCCAATCCGCTGTTACCTCCCCCCTCCTGTCATCGCGCCGGGAGCCCCATAGCTCCGATTTGGCGTTAAAATCGCCGGCGACGATGACAGGACCTGGGAGATGTCTCTTGATGACATCTCCCATTTCTTGGAGCCTGGACTTGTAATCCACCAAGCCCAGGCCCTTTGCTGGGGGGAGGTATACCCCGACCACGGTGATGGCTCCCCACCTGGCCACAACGAATCCCCTGCCACGATCCACGTATTTGGCAGGGGGTGAGCGGCTGCTCGCCTTCCACACAATAGCGACAGAGCCCAACTCGTCCCCGAACCATCTACGGTTCCTGGGGACATGGTGGGGCTCTGCCGCTATTCCTAAGCCTGCACCGCGCTCTGTCATAGTATGCTCGAACAGGGGGAGCGCTTGACGGGCGCGGTGCAGGTTCCCTTGTAATAATTTAGTCTCCATTATCTGGTACCGTGATTACCACCACTTTTTCCCCCGGCTGTTCGCCGTCGGTATCCTCTCTCTCTGTAGGCCTCACTCTCTTTTCCCCCCTTTTCTCATCCACCTCCATGCTCCCACCTTCAGTGGGGACACGTGTGGGGGGCGAAAGAGGGAGCGAGGTTCTCCGCTTCCTTTGAGGGAGAGGAGGCTGGGACTCTGGCTCCAGTTCCCTATTTGCCTCCTTCTCCCTCTTCTTTCCTTCCTCCTCTTTCCTTTTCCCCTCTGGGGATGCAGGAGGGTCTCGTGGCGGCGGTGCGGTCGCCATACCCCCTTCCACTGCATCCCCAGGGACATTCTTCCTCCTCTTGGGGGACGGCAAGATGGTCCCCCCATTCTGTGGTCTGCCTTAACGCCGGCCTCTGCGCAGAGTTGGCACCTGGCTCTCGATTTACACTCCCGAGCCAAGTGACCAGGTTCTCCGCATCTATAGCAGTTTGCCCGCCTATCAGTGTTGCTTTTACAGTTTGTTTGCACGTGCCCTTTTTCTAGGCACCTGTAACATTGCAGGGCCCTTGCCTGCAGTAGCTCTGCCTTTGTCTGCGTCCATCCAATCCTAACACTGCCTATCTCTGCAACCCTCTTGGCCGCCGCGAGGGGGCACTGTATCCACAGTGTCCGGTAATTATTATAGGCTGTTCTCAAACTCCCGGTCTTCACCTCTCCTACTTTACATCCCCCTGCCTTAGCCACTGCCTCCGCCGCCTCGCTCTCCGTAGTGGATATCTCCAGCCCTTTCAATCTGAGTTCCCCCATTTTTTGCGGCCTGCTTACTCGTGCCCTATCTGTCAGGACCTCCTTCAGTTTGTCCGCCAGTATATCCGCCTGCTTGCTCCTTTCTTCGCCTGGTATCTCGATCACGAGTGCTCCGGTGGCCCCTACTCTAGTCTTTATCTTATTGATACCAATCCCATCTAGATCTATCTTCCTTTTCGCTTCTGCCAACAGGTCCTTGTATTGTCCCTTTTCTGCTGTTATTGTCACCGCCGCCGTGTTGGGGACTCTCCTCTTGTTCTTCTTCCCCTCTTTCTTTTCGGGAATTACCACCTTTTTAACGATTTCTTTCCTCCTCTGCTCTTCTTTCTCCCTCTTCTTTTCTCTCCTGCCCACCACTTTCGTCCACATTTCCTGTGGTTTAGGTGCCTCCTCCCTGCTATATTGTGTTTGTTGTCCCTTTCTCGTAGGTGGAAGCTGAGGGTACTCTTTATTATAGTTGTTTCCCTTGTTTTGTGCCCTTCCCTGATCCCTGGTTTCTTTCACCTCTCCTTTACCTTTGTTCCCCCAGGCCCCCTGTTTGGGAGCCTCCTGTGCCTTCCACTCGTTCAAGGCTTGGAACACTATCTTTGACACCTTCTCCCCCAGAACCTTCTCTTCTCCTTTTACTAATTCCACCCTCTTTTCCACCCTAACTTTGGTTTTCAGGGGGACAATTTCCCTGATCTTGGGACCTGCTAGTCTATTCGCGACCCTGGCTTCCCTCACCGGGTGTCTCCTTACCGTTGGAATCAGTCCCTTCTGGATTTCTATGACTCCAGTCAGGACTTCCTCCTCCTCCTCCATATCAACTATAGGTGGCGTGATCGCCCTTCCTTTTCCTTCTGTGCGGATCAGGGGCGAGGAAGCACCCGCCATTTGTTGCGGTGCCTCCTTTATACCCCGACCCGCACTTCCCGGTTGTTTCGAGGGCGGGGAGGATACCACTGCTTCATGCAGTGGTGTCTCCCTTATACCTCGGAGCATCTGTTTCACCTCCTCTAATTCCTTTCTTACCTCCTCTAGCGACGTTTTCAGGTCTACATTCTCCGTCCGTAGTTCTTCTATCAGATCGAGATTGCCTCCGCATTTGTCCTGCGCCATTTGCATAGCCAGGACATTTGCTCCTGCCGTTATGGCTGCGGCTGCGTCTCTGAGGACCTTAACATGGGTTCCTTTAAGGCTCTTCGATTTCTGCGAAAAACCGAGGACCTTAGCGGACGCTTCAAGAATCGTCGCAGTTATATCGCGGAAGGGAGCCTCCTCCAGGTGTTCCGTCAGCCTTCTAATTTCCGCCTTATATTTCCTATTGGCGGTACAGTCTAGGAACTCCTCCGTGGGATTTTCCAACCCTTTCAAGAGAGCTTCCTCTCTCTTCTGCTCCATTATGGCAAGTTTCCTTGCCATGAATTCCTTCTTCAATCGGTATCCCCCAGTTGTCTCGGGCCTGCCCTTACCTCTGGTTGCCTTCTCTACCAGACGTTCTTCGTCTGTATTTCCTTCGTCATCTCTGGGGATTTCCCATTTCCCTTCCTTTTTTCTGGTGACTTTTCCACCGTCATCGGAGTCTTCTTCCTTAGAGGTGGCGAACGGCGTTGAGTCATCGACCTTGACGGGCGATCGGGACCTATCGCTGTTGTCGGACTCTTCCGCCTTCCTCTTCTCTAGGAGCCTTGCGCTCCTGAGTCCCTCTCTCCTAACCGTCACCTGGCTATTGCCAGGTCGGCTTCTCATGTCCTTTGGGTTTGCCTGGGTCGTCTTATTTATTTCCATATCCGATGAATCATAATTTGAGGAGGTAATATAATCAGTCATTGTGGTTTAAAACCCACCACTCTGCACGGCTCCGGTGCCCGGGCATGCCCGCATCCCCCCGGCAAGGGGGAGCCTCCGAGTTCCCCCGGAGGAGCACCATATGGCACGGGCCGACGGAATATAACATCGTCGGCACAGGCCTCCCGCCCCCTACACGCGCCCTGACCACCATCTCTGGTGGCCAGACCGCTTTCGGGGGTCCCACACCTCCGACAATGTGGGCACCGTGCAGAGCGCCGCCACGCGGGGGGCCCCATGGAAGGAGATAGTTCACCGGTGTCGCACCCCACCGGGAACGTCTCCCCCATGGCAGCCAGCGTGCTCGCGCCGCCCGAGGGTCCGCTTTAGGATGATGCGATCGCATTCCCTCGGGCACAGCACACAGGGGCTCCGACCCCGCCTCGGAATACGTCCGAGCGGCCCGGAGCACCCCTCCACCCCCCGGGTACCGCGAGGGGTTCCAAACCCTCGCGGTGTGCAGACCCGGGTGTGGGTACCTCTCTCCGCCTGGCCGTGGCCAGGACGGATGAGGGAGAGGATCGTTCCCTTCGGCTGCCGGAGCACCGGCGTGCAATGCCTCCGGGAATGAGTCCTCTGGTTGGCGCCAGAGGGTGTCTCGACCCCGACCTCGGAATACGTCCGAGCGGCCCGAGACACCCCTCCACCCCCCGGGTACCGTGGGGCAAGCCCCACGGTGTGCAGACCCGGGTGTGGGTTCCTCTGTCCGTCCGACCGAGGCCGAACGGGTGAGGGAAGTCGGGGAGTCCACCTTCGAGACGAAGGTGGGGTCCTCTCCCCTCGTCACCCTAGGGTGCCCCGACCCCGACCTCGGAATAAGTCCGAGCGGCCCGGGACATCCCCTCCACCCCCCAGGTACCGTGGGAATAGTCCCGCACGGTGTGCAGACCCGGGTGTGGGATCCTTCGTTCGCCCAGCCGTGGCTGGGACGAGCGAGGGAGAGAGATCCTCCCCTCTTCGGCTGCCGGAGCACCGGCGTGCAATGCCTAGGAGGGTGGGATCTCTCAGGACGCGGCAGCGTACCCCGACCCCGACCTCGGAAACGTCCGAGCGGCCCGGAGTACCCCTCCGCATCTCAGGCACCACGGGGGAGGAGGATCCCCATGGGGTGGAGCCCTGGATGCGGGTACGTCCCTCCGCCCCGGTCTAACCGTAACGGTCCAACCGAGGCGGGAGGAAAGGGTTCTCTCTCTTCGGCTGCCGGCTAAAACCGGCGTGCAATGCCTCGGAGAGAGAGGTCCCCTTCCTGGAGCGAGTGTGGAGGAGGTCATCCCTGTCGGCTGCCGGAGCACCGGCGTGCAATGCCTTCAGGGATGATGATCTCCTCCCACCCGCTCTGTGACCGTGCTGGTCATGGACCAGGCTGGTCACTCAGCCCGGTCGGGTGCTCTTGGTCCAGTCCCTCCGTACAGACCACTCCGGCTTGGTAGAACCTGCCAGGGGCCGAAACCCCCGCCGGCACAGCTCTGTACATCATCGGGACCTTCAAGCCTCCCCACCACGTCAAGGTGGCACCCACGGGGAGGACACCGATCACACTGCCGTTGTGTATGCAAGGGTCGCGTTTCAGCACGAGACCGAAATTTGGAGCAACGTCGAAGTGGAATGCGCATCTCGCGTCCGGCCAGATCTCGTCAGCGACGTCGAACTCGCCATCGACCACGCCGTTGGTAGTCGCGCGCGAACGATCGTTCGATTCGCGGCGAAATCGCAAATGTCGTCGATCGCGCTCCACATCGGCCGAGAACAGTCTGACCGCGTGATGAAACGGCAGCGCTATGTGCCGCGGTGCCAGATACGGCGAAATCTGGATGTAACCACGAAACGTGTTCCTCAGTGGATACGTAACGAGATAATGGACGAAGCTCTTGCAGGTCTGTAGAAAATTTTTGACTGTGCCTCCTTTGTCAGTCAATATCTTGTCCACGTCGTTGCCGAAGCGCAGTTGATTGTACATGGCGACGCTGCAGTACTCGTAGGGCGGAGCGATAGCGACGTCGCCGGTGGTCGCGCGTCGCGTCGTAACGACAGGTTCCGTGTTTGCGGGTTCGCTTTCTTGAGGCGCCGTTCGACACGCCACGCACCCGAGCGATTCTATGGACGACGGCGGTATGTTGTGCGATCGCCGTCGCGATCGCGTCGTCGCGATCTGCAACGCTCGTCGATCGAGCGTAACGAGTCGCATCGCTTTCGCATCGTCGACGACGGTGACTCGAGTCGCCGCTGCGAGCGTCGTCGTCGCTCGCGCGACACGCGACGCGACGTTTGCACCCTACGAGGTATCGCAGCGCGTTCGTCGCCGTCGCACCGTCCGGGCGTGTCAGCGCGAGTGACGGAGACGCACAAGCGATCCTTTGTCCCTGCGCGAACGAGCGTCATTCGTCGCGTTATTTCAGCAGTACGAAGTCTTGCAGACGAGCGGGCTGCTTCGACACTCGAAGCGGTCGTCGCGGCAGCGTTCGCGTGGCCGAGGGCTCGCCGTTCGTTCTCGTTCGTTCTCGAGATTCAACGACGTCGCGCATCTTCTCGATCATGGTCCTCGTGTCCTTTAAACTGACCAGGTGGTTCTCCAGTTGCTTGTTGATCCGTGAGTGCGAGAGCCGCAGGTGCGAGAGCCGCGTGAACATCACATTATCCACCGCACTCGCGCTCAGACTCGAACCTATTTCGCTCCTCGCGTGCTGACCCTCGTTGTCGATAGGCACGATCAGTCTTACACCGTACAAATGTTCAGCCGCGGTGATGACGTCCTTGGCCCGAAGCGTGAGGCCGGTATTGACTGATGCGCTGCCGCATCGAATCACCGACATGAGCGCGTACGCCAACACATTCGCGATCGCTTCGAACACCTTGATGTTCAGCAGCACCAGACATTCGCGCGGTCTTTGCAACGACACGAAGCAGTTCAGGCGAACGAAGTGATGCAGACTGTACGCTCCGTATGGCAGTTCGCCCCTGTCATACTCATTGTCGAGCGCAGCGGTTCTGTCGCTATCCGTTCGTCGCTTGCGTCGTTTACTGCCGTCGCCGCAATTCTCGGGAAACGTCATTCGCGACAGAGGATCGGCGAGCAATTGTACCGAGTCGATCGGGTCGAACGACGGACGTTGCCGCGGCAGATCGATCGACACGAAGTGCGACGGTAGCAACCGTTGAATTTGTCCGTCGCTCATATGGTGCGATTATGTCTTGCGGATCAGATTGGCGAACAAAATGTCGCACAAGAGTCGCATGCACCAACGAGCCGACGCGGAAACGCGAGTCTTGTCGGCGACATCCAATCGCGCGACGTCGCCTCTTTTCTTCGCTCGAAGTGTACGCAGAGCGCATCGAATGGTCTTGTCGACAGCGGATTTTTGCATTATCGTCGAGCCGGCGCCGAAATTGTCCCCGGTGAAATCCGGCGCGATCAGTCGACGCAGATCGTCCCGCGTGATCGAACTCGTATGACATACGGTCATGGCGCGCGTCATCAGTCGCACCTTACGATAGTACAACTGTCGCATCAGTTGAATGTACTCGCCGATGCTATAGGGCGGACGACCCTTCCGTCTTGCGAATACGACGAACGATATGGAGCGAGCCGTCGCGACGAGTCGTCGCAACGTGGCGACGCGCGATTCGACGAACAGTCGCGATGTTCGCGACAGTCTCTCGTCGTCGCAAGCCTCGTCCCATTCATGCTGCATTTCGATCAGACGAGTCAACGTTATCTCCGATACGAAACTGACGTGCGTTCGAGCCGCCATCGCGGTCCGAGTCGCGTCATCGTCGACCTTGGCCTCCGTCGATTCGAATCTGATCCTCTTAGTTGTTTGACTCGATGACGATGGCACGGCGCTGCGTTGTCGCGGTTTCTTCTTCGCCGACGATCTGAGCAGGTTCAGTTTCTTGCCGCCGCCGCCGCGATTCACGAGCTTCGCGGGTTCCGTTGTCGAGCCGATGATGGCGTCGGGTGGTGTCGGTGTCGCGGCCAAACTCGCGGGAATGCTAACGACAGTGCTGCAGTCGCCTCGTTGTCGATCAGTCACCGTCGACATCGTTCTCACGGACGATCGATCGCCTCGATCGCGATGTGACGGCGAATCGGTCGAACCTATTCGTTCGAGCGATGACGTCGTTGTCTCCGGTAGCGACGTGTCCGTGAGAATGCGTCGGAACTGCGATTGCACCAGCAACGAATTCAAGAAATCGTCGTTCGTCGCTGACGACGAATTCGCGCCGTCGAGCATGGACGTCGCGCTCTCGCTCGTCATGGTCGCGACGAGAGCGCTGTCTTCGACTCGGAGAGATGCGCGACGTGCGATCTGTCCTCCGGTGAAAGAGAGCGCGACACTCCGATTGTTGCTTATTGAAGAAGCGTCGTCCAGGTCGAACGTCCGGTGCTCGCCGTTGAACTCGAACTCGCGCGATCTACCCGTTAAACGGCGCTTTTGATGATCTCGTACAGACACGCGTTCACGTAGCGATTCGTATGTCGTCGATCGCGGTGATCGAGATTCTCGCGCAGACACTCGATCGACGCACCGTGCAGAAATCGATAGCCGGCGTAGATGCGACGCAACGCGTGAAAACTCAAACCGCGCGATTTCGAGCGACCGACGGCCGCGTTGTAGAATCGGGCTAGTTGGCGATCGAGATCTCGTCGCAGCGTTCGCACGCTGAACGGAATCGACAGCGAGCCGTCGATCTCGACCCAAGCCACGAACGCGTCGAGACACGATCGCACAGCGTGCTCATCGGTGTCATCGGTTCGTCGTCGACGGTCGTCCTCGCGATCGACGGAGCGACTCGCCCGAACGGCATCTTCATTTTCGTCGGTCGGCAGCGATCGCTCGTCGCGACGATCTCGCAGCAACAGCTCCGGGATCTCGATTCACCCGAGTTTGCGCGTTTTGCGTATCTTTATGACGCATACCCCGCGATCGCGCAACTGCGCGATCGTGACTTTCGCGATGTCGGACAGGCGTTTGCCCGTGCAC